TTTTCCGAAGGGTGCCAGGGTGGCATTACCCAGATTCTGAATCTACACAAATTAAAGACATATAATCCACTCAAAACCTACATTTCAATATATTGCACATCTTTTTAGTGAACTTTATGAGTTTCCCTCTAAAATGAGCCTCCATTTTGAATTTGGCCCTCTAGCGGAATTAGCCATCACTTTCAGGAGGAATACCCTAGCTCATTGGATTCAGCGGGTCGAATTATTCTAGAAACATATTCAAACCGAAGTCCGAGAGCAGCTGCAACATATTTTACCCCACTAAATAACCAGAAACCGCCTCATGTCGGCCATCTTGAATATATAAATTTCCCCAATTCTGAATCTACACATATAGAAGATATATAATACACCAATAAACATTAGGTGGGCTATATTTCCATGTCAAGGCTTAAAATGGGGTTTGGCAACTGGACCTTATGGTTCGTATGTCAGTGGTCACTGAGTTGAACCACTACTTATTATTCTTCATACGATTACTTAATCTTTAATAGATATTACATACTCATGAAAATATGTAATACCTAGAATTTTCAATAAGTCTGACCCAGCTGATAAAGCCAGATTTTTGGGAGAGGGCGCTTGGCTATCGTGTCTCTTGGGAGAACCCCACCAAACAAACTCTCTAGCAATGGGCAGTGTGATCCTTGGGGTGCTGAACAATTTCCAAGCAGTTTTAAGTGGTACACACTTCAGCCACTCTAGCCTAATTGCGAGGCGTGTCATTTTGGGCGTGTCTGTTAGGGGTTACCCACCGTACAATCTGTTTGGCTGTGATCATTCATGATTCCTTTGGTGGTGCTGAACAACACCAAAGCAGTAAAAGTGGTACATATTTCAGCTAAACTAGCCTAGTTGCGGGGCGGGGCATTTTGGGCGTTTCTTTCAGGGTACCCCACCGCAATATCTGTCTGGCAGTGGTAGTTCATGATCCCTGTGGTGGTGCTGAACAACTTCCAAGCACTTTTAGGTGGTACGGACTTCAGCTGATCTAGTCTAGTTGGGGGGGGGGGCGTGGTATTTTCGTCGTGTCTGTCGGGGTAACCCACCGCACAAATTGTGGTGATGCTGAACAACTTCCAAGCAGTTTTAAGTGGTTCAGATTTCAGCTAATCTAGCCTAGCTGTGGTCTGGCAATTACATAACTCTGTCGGGGGTACGCCACAACTAGAAATGTCTGTCAGACTGTTTTTGTAATACTTGTAGATGTACGGTACACTGCTGTACCATTTTCATGTGGTATACTTTTGAGCTAACCTAGCTCAAGAATACATACCCAGTATCGAAGCCCTCACAGCCACACCCACCACCAGATACCCGGCAGACTTATATTTTGATGATACCAGATATGCATGCTTTGATACCATATATGCGAAAATTGGTACAATTTTCAGCTAGGTTGACCCCCTGGGCTCCTGCTCTATTAAGTTCACTACAGAATACTCTAGAGAAAGAGTATCCTTTCTAGACACATGGGTAAATTTCAACCAAATTTCCAAAAAGTTACATATCGATTAGTACAACAAACTCACTGACTCACACTCCTATCTTCTATATATACTATTCAAAAAAAGTAGGGGATATTTGATTTTGGGGGCATAATACTAAAATATGCAAATGACTACGAAAAAAGTCACTATAGAACCTAACAGAAGAAACATTTCCAGTTACATGTGACGCCCAAACGCACCAATAGCTACCGCATGGAATGCAGGTGATGCTTGGGATCATCATGGGGGTCCAACCCAAGATTTGCACGACTCTGATTTTGAATGTTACAGTCATTGTGGCATTGAATTCCAGGGTGGAAACATCAGTTTAATTGTTTTAGTGACCAGAAAACAAATTTTGATATGCGTCGGCTTACCCAAAATGAAAGGTTACGTGCCCTTGGCATGCTACAGATCGGCACAACACAGGCGGTTGTGGCGCGGACGATGAATGTTTCTCAGTCTGTCATAAGCAGGCTATGGTCCAGATACCGTGATACACAATCTGTACAGGACAGACCACGCTCAGGTCGACCAAGGGCGACAACTCAAGCCCAGGATCGATTTATCCGTACCTTGGCCTTGAGAAATCGTGTCATCACAGCAAATCAGATCAGCGCTCGTCTTCAAACAGACACTGGTGTGAGAGTGAGTGGCCAGACGATTCGGAATCGACTGCATAGGGGTCACCTTCGCGCCCGACGTCCTCGCGTGATCCCTTGTTTGAGAGATCATCACATTCAGGCAAGACGTCGTTGGTGTAGGGATCGTCAACACTGGGATAATCGACGCTGGAGCAATGTGATGTTTTCAGATGAGTCAAGGTTCACTGTTGATTTTTTGGACAGACGTAGGAGGGTGTGGCGTCGTCGAAACGAGCGCTTCCAAGACGTTAACGTCATCAGACATGATCGATTTGGGGGTGGTTCTGTTATGGTGTGGGGAGGCATCACTGTTGCTGGAAGAACGGCTTTACATGTTGTTGCAGGGCGTGTTACAGGCCAGTACTACCGGGACAACATCTTGGCAGTCCATGTTGTGCCGTTCGCACGAAGTCATGGCCGCCGTTTCATCTCCCAGGATGACAACGCAAGATGTCACAGGGCCAGGATCGTTACAGGTTACCTCCAACAACAGAACATCACCACATTACCTTGGCCAGCACTGAGTCCCGACCTCTCCCCCATCGAGCATGTCTGGGACATGCTTGGACAGAGGTTACGTCAACGTCAACAACGTCCTGCCAATGTCCAAGAACTTGCTGCTGCGTTGCAACAGGAATGGGACAATCTGGACCAAAATGACCTTAGACGTCTCATTAGGAGTATGCCACGTCGGATCAATGCTTGTTTGGCAAACAGAGGAGGATTTACCCGTTACTGACTTGGTTGTGATGCTGTGGTAACTTTGCTGTTTGACCCCGGGTATCATTTTACCCTTATAATGGTCAGTCTGTGCCTTACTTAGTCTAACGATCATTTGGAATAAATCGATGAATGTGAACTTCATTTCATTTTGTCATTTGTTTCTTCGTCAGTTTCATTAGGTGACTTTAATAACACTTAAAAATCAAATATCCCCTACTTTTTTTGAATAGTATATATCGTGCCACCCAGCCCATATCAAGACGAAAGGACCTTTCAGTCAATTTTTACGTCTTAAACGTATCTGTAGCTTAGAAATAGACTATGAAAGACATAGCCAAAATCTTCTCGATTTTTATCTTAATAGAGTCTACCCACACAAAGTAGTGTCGGAAAATATGAACAGGACAAAATCTCTAGCCAGAAAAGACCTGTTAAGCCCGACTACGACTACCATTTTGAAAAAACGAAAGTCGCTGGTTTTTATCACGGATTATAATCCAACAGCTGTTGAAGTTAGCATGCTCATAAAAGAGAAATGGCACTTATTAACCGGATCGGACTTGTGCCGCTCCATCTCAAACATTAGACCAATCACGGCATTTAGGAGGAATCCTAATTTGAAGGGTACGCTTATGAAAGCAAGACTAATCTATCCACCACGGGACCCGCAAATCAGCGGAGTCACGGTTCAAAATTTATTCGAAAAATGTATCAAGAAGGATTGTGATATCTGCCACCAAATTAGACCAAAATAACTACTTCATTAGTGGTAAAACTGGTTATAAATATTCCTGCCGCACGGGCTATAATTATTTAAGTAAAAATATAGTCTACCTATTAACATGCTCCCTCTGCAAAAATATCAATACGTAGGAGAAAGCAAACGTGCCTTTTCAAAACGGATAAAGGAACACTATGCAGATATACTGAGCGCCATGAAAAACGCATCACTTAGTTTTTCGTATAACAAAAAGATCCTGTAAACAGATCTTATTTATTTTGCTTCTTATTGTGAACAATATTCAAATGGGAACACATCAATAACAACACATTTGTACACTTATGGATGTTTAATCTGTAATCAACGGTACAAAGTACGACACAGATGTCAGTAGCGTGTGTGTCCTCCACGGGCTCTTACGCACGCTGTGCAGCAACGTCGCATGGAATTTACCAATGTTTGAAAGAAGGCCTGGGGCAAATTGTTCCATTCTTTTGACAAGAGCAGCTTCTAAAGCAGCAATGGTGTGCATCTGTGGTCTCTGATACAGACGGCGTCCAATCTCATCCCAGATATGTTCTATTGGTGTCATGTCCGGAGACATGGCTGGCCAGTCCAAGACATTGATGTTGTTAGCAGCCAGATAGTCCATACTTCCTGTTGGAAGTGCTGAAGTTGTGGGTGCGCTCGAAACATCGGAACAACAATTAGTTGCAAGACATCATCACGGTAGGCTACAGCATTAACGCGATCCCTGCAAATGTGTAGGGTGGTCCGGTGATGAAATGTGAAGCCTCCCCACACCATTACACTTCCCCCACCCCATCGATTCGTTTCGAAGACGCAGCAGTCTGCAAGACGTTCCCCAAGACGTTTCCGCACACGTTGACGGCACACAATGCTGCACGTGAATATTGGGTTTTTCATGTGCATCTCGTGCATTTTTTTTTGTGCACACGGGCCGATATTTTTTGCGTTTGGGAGTATTGTGTGAAACAATAGTTCATAGTATTGCATAATATTATACATACAAAACCACCTAGTAATAAAATATTTGGGAAAAAAAGTGATGCGTTTTCCATGGCGCTCAGTATATTAGACACAGCAGGCCAAAGCCGGTTTCTTTACACTTCAACTTAGATAAACATACGAGTAGGAATGTTATGATTAAAATAATAGAGCTCTTTAAGACTGACCCAGATAACGGCAAAAACGATGCCGTAAGGAAAGCCAATGAATTCAAATGGATTCACACTTTAAGAACATTCGCACCGGATGGCATTAACGAAAAGATGTAGTCCCGAGGGGTCCCCCACTTTATTGTTAACTTAAGTATGACTATTGTTGTGATAGAATACATAACTCTTATTTATTAAAAAGATATTTTAATACTGGTTAACATATTTACAGGTACATATGAACATCATTTGGTTGGGTACGTTAACGTATCGTCTAGCTATAGCTGCTTCTCCTCGGCCTCACAGGACCACTCTGCCCGGTGTCGAGGGCAGACCCTCTCCCGAGGTCCGGGAGGCCTCTCAGCCTCTACGGGCCTCTCTTGTCCCTCCTCTGTACTTTTTCGACCTGCTTGTAAACTAGGCTTTTTATATCGGTTAAGGCACGCCACAGTTAATACCATTAGTAATCAGAACAATGAAAAGTAATTATTAAGATTCACACATCTTAGCTCAAGACAAAAGGTGTCAATACGTGATAAGCCTAAATCTTATATCATATAGACACTCCGAGTATACATGTTTGACAAACCCATTACATCTTACATAATACTATGTCAACACCCCACACCTGATATAGATTAAATCTTACAATTAATCTGTCACTTAATATATGTCCAAAATGAGTTACAAATAAAATATGAATTCAGAATACAATATTAAAATTTAGATCCCAAATGATATTGTATTACATTCCTCCCTGAACCACAATTTTAAAATAGTGGAATATATAAAATAATATATGAAACGATTTTAAAACAATAAAAGATTAAAGCACAATACAATAATTGAAGTATCCAAAAGCAGATATTGTCAATGGTAAAAAAATGTTCAGTAGTCTACGGAGTAACGCCGTGGTAAATATAGTGTCGCAAAAGTTATATACAAGAAGCACAACATCGAAACTAAAAAATTCACAAATGTATAAGAGTCACTGGTCACAGTATGTGTAAGTCCTAGATCAGTATATTCTATGAATAAAGGCACATCGACGTGGGAACACAGTACGCGGAAAAATCGTCACACAAATGAATGTCATATAAATGATAAATGAAATACACGAACATAATCACATTCACACGCGATCCAAATTAGGGAATCCACCATTTAAACATATATTTTCTACCATGTATGCATCACCATGTATGCACCTATTCTCCTTTATGTCAGCATAATTATATTTTCCACCATGTATGCATCACCATGGATGCATATTCTTCTTTATGTCGGCATAATTATATTTTCCACCATGTATGCATCACCATGTATGCATATATTCTTCATCATGTCAGCATATATTTCGTATGCTCTGCTTTGTCGAGGTATGGTGAATGGATAATTTCTCCATTCTCAAGCTCACTGCGGCTTGTGGCTTTTAGCCGTCACCATCTTCTTCAACACTCTATACTCGGTATCGTCACCTTCTTTGTTTATTTATTGGCCGCTATTATTCTTGTCGGTTAGTCTTTTTCCTTTCCATACCGCCTGGCCAACGGTGCTTAATGACATGTCGTGTCATGAGAAATATTTTAACTGCCATTCGTGCCCAAGTTTTATCATCTGCTTATTATATCATGGAGTGAACTCAATTAACTTTTAATCAAATTAGTAAGTGGAACAGACTTGATAGATAATGATCTATTTTAAAATATTTACATGAGAATTTTAAATTAGATATTTTGGAAAGAACCTATCAAAATTAACAGTGGTTTTATCTCTATATTTTCTTTTAAACAAAACACAAAACAATACATCACATTCGCTCTTAATTCCGAGCAAGACCCTCGCTGAGGTGAAACAAATTCCGCCTTATAGGAATTTCAATCGATGCAAGTTTGCTTAAACTGAACACGCACACGTAACTTGAACTGGAAAAACAAATAAAAATTGTTATTTTCATCTTTGTTAGAAAATGCCGCGCCTTTCAAATGTAGAACGTCTATGCTTGTCAGTCTGTGGTTACTGTTGCAAGAGCCTTGAATTGTTCACGCCAGACAATAATAAATCTTAGAATGAGAGTGCTTCAAACTGGAACTATTGCCGACCGCCCAAGGGCGGGAGCGACATGTGTGACGTCACTCCAGGAAGATCAAGCAATATGATTACGTCATCTTAGAAACAGATTTGTCACTGCAACCTCCACAAGTAGAGAGATGTTTGGTGGAAGGGTAACTGCACAAACTGTTCGAAATCGCTTGCAGGCTGTTGGTCTTCGAGCTCGGAGGCCCTATAATGGACCAATATTGACACCTCTTCATCGCCGTAACCGACTTGTGTGGGCCACAAGACACATAAGATTTACTCAAAGACAGTGGAATTCGGATGTCTTTAGTGACGAATCACGATTCACTTTGAGATTTGCCGATGGCAGGGTCCGAGTGTACCGCAGGCGAACTGGGTCGACGTGTTCGTCAGCAAGTGAATCCACCACTGACGTTGCAGGACCTTCAACATGCTCTTGCTGAGCAGTGGCGACGTCTTCCTCGGGTAGTGTTTACTAATGTTCTGAGATACATGAGAAGACGTTGTGTGGCAGTACGAGACGCTAGAGGAGGCCACAACCGTTACTAAACACTGTATTCCGATTGTTCTCCAAGTCTGTGAATTTCATTTTGGGGGGTACTGTGACATCACGAACGTTATCAATGTAAAGGACTTTCGGCGACACGTATTCTTGCTTTCTGCTGATGTCAACATAACACTAAAATAGTTGCCTTAAACCAAATATTAAAAATCTAGTCCCCAAAATCCCGAGTGTCAAGTTTTTAATTTGGCTGAGTATACTATGTCAACACCCCACACCTGATATAGATTAAATCTTACAATTAATCTGTCACTTAATATATGTCCAAAATGAGTTACAAATAAAATATGAATTCAGAATACAATATTAAAATTTAGATCCCAAATGATATTGTATTACATTATGGTGTTTAATGAACTTAGGAACAGAAGATGTGACCAATGATGATACAAAATGAGTGACAAGAGGTACAGTATGCCCGGAATGCTAAGTTTCCTCTTGAACTCTGTCTATCACCTTCCATAAAAGATAGCAAGCGGTTTTGAAGCTTTAATTATTAAATCTATGTCTACATTATGTAATCTTTTTCATATTTTTTTTATAACCTTAAATGTAATTATAATATACATGTATATCTAAACATTACACTCCAAGAAATGTATATATGTTTGTAACTCACTACCTATACATGTGTCCACCACTGTTTATTGTAAACATAAGATTAAACTATTTTATATGTTTGGAGAGAACTTATATAGGCATTTGCCTGTTGTTCAATCCATTCCAGTTTATTGAATAAAATATTGTTTAAACTAATCACCTTCCATGTTAAAGTGCAACTTAAGAATTGGGGTTCTAGGGTCTCCTATCCCAGCCACACACCACTAGCATCCCAAATCTTCCGCACCTTTGATGTTGAACAAAACCCACCTAGCCCCCGGACAAATAAGGATAATATTATGTGTATTTTAATTTTTAATTTAACAAACTTATTAAATCATAATTTGCTACGTATTGTTCTATTCCTTAAAACACGTCTTAAAATCTTTCCACTAGCACTCTTGGGAATTTCTTCTAGAAACTCAATACCACCTCTAAGTCTCTTGTGAAATGCTGCATTTTCTAGAAAAGAACAAGATAATAATACAAATGTCTGACAGCAGCTCAGTCGTCCGTATTGTTTATAAATAGTTGAAGCCACGGTGGCTAAGTCGGTAAGTCGGTAAGAAGCTGCCTCGCTAGCCTGGAGGTCGCATATTCGATCTCTGCATTGGGCGAGACAGTTGACAGTGTTGCAGGATGAAGGGTCTGACAAGGACAGCTGTCTAATCGTTCAGATGGGACGAACCGAGGTTTGCATGCACGCAAAAGATCCATTGGCAGTTTGAATTCGTGCCACTGCCTGGGCAAAATTTCCGTCATAGCAAACTAGCCTATGCCCGTCGTAATAGCCCAGTCGAAGCAGAACAGTAGGACGATAAACTCCATTTCATTTCATTTTTATTTCATCTCACTTTATAAATAGTGCCGCCATTTTAATGTTTTGAAATGAATTACTATAGAATCCCAGCTGAGTAAATTTCACAAAGTATCTGAAAGATTACAAGTGCTGCCTACAGTTCCATAAATAATCAATGACTTTGACTTTCGGTATGGTTTATAATCTTGACGAGTTCTAGAAAATGCTTGTGAACACCGGCCTGTTGAGCGATTACAGGGGTTAGGGGTAATACGAAATGAGAATAAATGATGCTATCAGGTCTATCCCTGTGGGTAGACGAATAGAAGTTTATGAAATTTCAAAACAAATTTTACAAATGAAATGGGGTTTAACGTCGTATTTTTCTGGGGAGCCACGGTGGCTAAGCGGGTAAAACACTGACTCGGTAGTCTGAAGGTGCCACGTTCGCTCCCGGTGTTGGCCGAGAAAATTCATCGGGATATTCCGGCATGGTTTTCCTTTGTCAGTGGTGCAGGACGCAGGGTCCGACAAGGACAGCTGTCTAGTCGTTCGGATGGGACGAAAAGCAGAGGTCCAGTGCGCACGTAAAAGATCCCTTGATAGTTGGAATTCGATATAAGAGTAGGCCGTAGCGCCGCTGTCCGGGCAAAATTTCACCCTCATGGGACACTGTATGGCAGTCGGAGCAGTACAGTAGGACGTTATACCCCATTTCATTTCATTTTTTACGCCCGTCTTCATGAGCCCAGTCGGAGCAGGACAGTAGGACGTTATACCCATTTCATTGCCTATTTTTCTACATCGACAGTGCTTATAAAGACAGACATACAGCATGTGGGCAATTTTGCCCAGAGTGTGGCGCTACGGCGTACTCAATTTTCGAATTTCAACTATCAAGGGTCCTTTTTCGTGCACGCCAGTGTGTACACGAGACTTCGGCGTTTATCCCATCCGTAGTACTAGACACTGAATGGACTGATAAAAAGGCGTTGGACCAACAGCGGCGATGATCCGCCATTACTGATATCATATTAATTCTTATCATCGTCCAAATACTTTGCTGGTGATATATATCAAAAAAGAAAAATGTTATTTTAGCACAGAATCTAAAAAATGTGGGTGTATAAAACTATCCATACCTTGGACATAGTTATGAATATCACTAGAAGTTACTTTTGAATGATTTTTAAGAACCACAAAGGCTTTCGGGAGTTCTCCAGCCTCGTCATCTGGTACACCAATAACACCTACGTCAGCAATAGCGGGGTGTTTTAGTAGTAAAGCCTCTAATTCTGCTGGCGCCACCTGGTGACCTTTATATTTAATCAATTCTTTAAATCTGTCAACTATATACAGAAAACCATCTTCGTCTAGATGACCTACATCACCTGTAAAATACAAAGATAGGTTTGCCATGTAAGGTATATACGTCCACGGCAACGGTATCACCTTGGTCATGATAAACTCGACAAGGAAATCATCTAATAAAGTCTTTTTATAGTATGTGATAAATACTCAACAGAATATCGGTCATATTACATTTATGGCCTTATGTGAAGGCTTCCCAGATATAATCCCACTGTTATATAGTTATTGCCTATTTAATTGTCTTTTCTTCAGGGGTGGAGGGAGTTGTGAGGCGTAGGGCTTCCTGTTAACAGCTTATAGTTTTGTTATCTTTGGTTCAAATCGTAGAAAATATAATCTTATGGTGATGGACAATAATAATCATATGTTGTCAGGCAACGCCCCTCCCATATCCCTAACTTCAAGACGACAAATACCAACACAATTTTCAGGTCTGCTATGAATATATAAATAAAGGAGACCAGATTCGATGTGGGCATATCAAACACGTCCTCAATCACATGTATTAAGCTGTATTGTACGCACGTTTATAGAAATGAGCATTTCTCTAGAATGTTGAATTTCCTTCGCAATGTACAGTACGATGTCTAGAATACAACTAAGACACACATTCCTAAAACAACTAAGACACTACATATCTTTAAATGCTCACGGAAGAAACTGCGCTCTCTCGGTCATTAAGGAATTGTGAGCGAGATCGAGGGTGGGTCCCGGTTGACACGGACAACGTTAATATATGGTCATAAGTTTTAATTAGTCCTATAAAATGGGTCTTGCTATGCACATGCAGTTCTAACCCGTTTTAACCCATCCATCACGTCCAATCATGGCCGATGTTGCTTCCGGTTCGTTCAAATATCCCATCATAACTTGCGGTCCTCGGATATAAACTTCGCCATCTTCGTTTACACCAAGAGTTTTACCAGTATCTGTATCAATTATCTGAAGACAAAAATACAATAGTAGTATCTTATTTAATAATCTACGATTTAATACCAATATAGACAATCTATATAGAGAGAAATGGGGTTTAACGTCCATTCGACACAAACTAGGTCATTTCGGGACTAACATGGTTCAATTCAACGAGGTTGTACAAGCGGGCAATCAAAAAACGCTACTTGACTCAATGACAGACCTCGTGATCCAATGCGGACGCGTTATGCATTCGGCCACCAAAGCCCCTTAGCCAGCAATTAAAGGGTGCATTCCGGGGGCCGTTAAAAAAAGTGGACTCTTTTTTTTATTCACATATATTAAGAAATATACCTATTTAATTATTTAAATATAGCAAAATTAAGTTCATAGCAATCGGTGAAAAATGATTTTAAAACAATAAAGATGGTGGCGGTATAGATAAAAACTCAAATTGATTGTCATAACTCAAGATAGGATTAATCGAATACATGTATGATTATTTAGGTAAGACTACGGTATGTGTATAGTCTGGAAGTCTATATTTGCCTTTTAGTCTGGAATATTGTCTTAAACCTCGAAAAATACATTAGTACCCTAATACCTTTGTCTGTATGCCTGCGAAATTTCTGCCTACAGACCCTTCTTTGTGATGTGTTTCTGTATTTATATTTGTATTTAAACACTCGGACAATCCATAGGCTGTAATAAATTAACAATACATTTAATACTCATCGAGCCTGAACCTGAAAATTACCAATAAATAACCTAATTGTTTCTCCAAATTTCATGATTGTCGAATGTAGTGTGTTTAGATATAGCCCCCAACCACCCCCTTACCCACTTTTTGCATGGCCATTGTCGTTGAATTGTTTTGGTCTAGAAGCGAAGATGAGTTTGGGTGTACGTAATTTTGCCAGATTTTGATTACTATTAAGAATTTTGAGGCGGAAGGATATGGAAGTAAACAGACGTGAATTTGGGGAAGTAAGGGCATGGATTTAACACTGAAGTTAATGATAACCTATTGTGGGCGCTGACTCGCGAACCAGAAGGATATCCTGGGTTTGATCTCGGTGTTGGCATAGACAATTCCTTGGGTTGTCTAACACGGTTGGTTTCCTTTGTCTGTAGTGAAGGACGGTGGGTCTGCCAAGGAACAGTGCCAAGTTGTTCGGATAGGAGGAAAAACCGAGGTCCTTGGTACGCCAACGCCGATAACAATTGGAATTTAAAATAAAGACTTGGATGTAGCACCGCTAATCGAGCAAAATTTCATAACACATTGCAAGGTGTGTGCCCGTCTTTATTAACCCGGGTGGTACAGAAAAGTAGGACGTTAAAACCTATTTCATTTCATTTTGAAGTTAATGGAGAGAGAGGATTTCGAGTTTCAGTTAATATCAATGGGCTCAATTTGAAATCGCGTGAAAAGGGAGGTAACTCTGCTCGATTCGTAACTTGGTAGATAAGTCTCGATACTCCGGGGTGTTTATCTAAATGGGAGCTGGGTGGCTCAGTGAGTGGGACGTTCGATCGTTATCATGGAGATACCGTGTTCGATCCCTGCGTTGGCCGAGAAAATTCATCTGGATTTTACGGCGTGTACCACTAACAAGGGACAACGTATAGTCTTTCGGAAGGGACGAAAAACCGGGATACCGTGGAAACATTGGCGTGAACGTAAAACTCCCTTGGCAGTTGGAATGCGATAGAACAGTAGGCCATCACTCTATGTCCTGGCAAAATACAACCATAACACATAGTATGACCAATGCCTATCTCCATTAGTCTAGTCAGAGGAGAACAGTAGAACGTTAAACCCAATTTCATTTCATTTCATTTATTTAAATGATCGAGACTAGTAACTCACAGTAGGGCTATTACGTTTGATATCCCCTCCCAGTCACAGCGAGCGACCCTACCTTGAGATATGAAGTCAATCTGTAATATATCTCTGACCTTCAACTCTATGTCTTTACTTAAAGGGGCAGCTCCACACATGACCTTTCTAACACACGTCAGGTCATACTTTTTAACTTCTGGTGATTTAGCTACTAACACCATTACCGGTGGCACAACATGTATGAGTTTGATCTGAAACAAACAAATAAATAAACAGCTGAATATAACTCATATTACACCACTGATTGATGTGAGATATTCGGGTAGGGTTACATTTAGAGACCTGTTAATCAAGAGTAATTGTAGAGATACGAATTATGGCCATAATAATGTTATTGAGTTCTGAATAATAGAAATGATTCTTGTTCGGATGCATTAATAAAATCACTGGGAAATCGTTAAGTGTATTACGAAAAAAACACGAGTCAAACACTGAGTAAGGGGACAGGCTTAAAAGGATATTGTCTTTTTATAAGTATGTGAAAATGTGTCAATTTCATTGCATTTTAGGTATTATTTTGGAAATAAATGTTTAAATTTACGAATCCACTCAATATCCACTCAATAGAGACCTGTTAATCAAGAGTAATTGTAGAGATACGAATTATGGCCATAATAATGTTATTGAGTTCTGAATAATAGAAATGATTCTTGTTCGGATGCATTAATAAAATCACTGGGAAATCGTTAAGTGTATTACGAAAAAAACACGAGTCAAACACTGAGTAAGGGGACAGGCTTAAAAGGATATTGTCTTTTTATAAGTATGTGAAAATGTGTCAATTTCATTGCATTTTAGGTATTATTTTGGAAATAAATGTTTAAATTTACGAATCCACTCAATATCCAAACCATCTAATGGTTTTTATGGTCTTGCCGTGTGAATAAATAATTACATATTAATTTATATAACATCTGAAGCCAGAAGAACTCCAGGCAATGGGCAGGTTTGGCTCTCGCATACTGCTTCATTAACACTGCATTTGCTCAATTGTACTGTTGAACGTTTTCACCTGTTATTAAATATTTTATTCACTAGTTAATTTGCTAAGTATCCGATATTTTATTTGCTAAGCACCTGATATTTTTCAATAGCTGCAAAGTATGGTATTGGTCTAAATTTGGACATGATAACTAGCTTAACACCAAATGTTGTAGCACAACACAAGATGGCGATTAAACCATAGATATGATAAAATGGTAGAAATTCTAGGACATCATCACCCGGTTGTAAATTCATAGCCCTGTAACAATAAAAGGGTTAAATTTTAAAACCACAAATTGAATGATGGAGTTGGATGTTCAATGTTTAATTTCTAATGGTAGAAATTCTAGGTTATCATCACCCGGTTGTAAATTCATCGTTCTGTAACAAAAAAAAATCGCATGACGGAATATGATGTCCAATGTTCAGAATCCATTGCTTAAATACATAATAGTTCGAACTCTTGCCACTGTTTTGGAATCTCATAAATGACTGCTCCTTACGGCTAAAATATGACGCCATTTTGGAAATTTATACCCCCTTTTCAGAGATTGGTGCTCACTCTTTCGTTGGAATTATTGTGTGGTAAATATTTTTACACCTGATGCCCTTTTTTATGTAAATTATCTGTATTAAAATTACCTTGTACAGGACACAACGGGTGTTGCTTAGGAGGGTATGGGATTTTATTTTATTTGTAAACATTATTATCTCATTAAATGTAGAAATGAATTACACCATATACTAGCTGCAATTTTTAGCCGTGATAATTCTTATCTACGGCTGCAATTGATACACTATTTGCGACTTTCAGCATGTAAAATTAGGTTCAATTGCAACATTTTTCAACACATATCTTCACAGTCTGCATGGAAATAAGTAATTATGTTACAAATAGTGAAGAGTGGAACACTGAAATCATAATCTTATCTTACCGAACAGTTTTTCGAATGACATGACATCCCGTGATTCTGGTTCGGCAGCCATTTTAAACTGAACAGAAATTTCGCATAGCAGTTGGGTTTAATCAAATCATATAATTATACGGTAAGGTTTCACCTTTATTTCAATTGGAATAGGTTTATAATATGATAAACTATGTACAGTACAGTTTGGGGTCAGTGTTATTAGACATTAAGGGAGTTATAGGCCAATAACGTTTTTTTTTAGTTTTTAGTCAATTGACTACAAAACTTGCTCAAAGGAAGGCCTTTGTACGGTCCACTACTGTGGCTTGGACAAGACGGTATACATCAGTAGTGAGACCATTTCTAACTAAATACTAACCTCATTTGTACCATATTAGCGACTATATTATAATGCGATAACATAACAGCTTTAGGCAAACCAGTTGTTCCACTAGAAAATACGTAACACGCTACAGTCTTCTTAGGGTTAAAGGTCGCCTTCTTCAGACCCATGCCTTCACCAAGGGAGATAACTTTCTCCAATGAAATAAAATCATCAATGTTTGAATCACCGCCTATAACAATAATATCCTGTAAAACACAACAGCCAACAGTAGCAAATAAAAATATAACCACAAGACCATTTTAAAATGTCCATTATTTGTTACATTGTTGGTCGTTTAAGTTTATCTTCACAACGCATCACCAAGTATATGATGTGTTTGTACCGACACCATTCAATAATTAATAGAAACTCACCTTTATAGATTTAATTCTACTTGCTTTTATCGTGTTTAAGAGACTGGGTACTGTTATAACCCACTGTGTATTACACTGTTTAAACTGGTTTATCAACTCATCTGTAAATAATTCAAATTTCATTCTAAAATCAAAGACTATGGCGACTTCAGCGCAATACAAAACAAGACTAAATTCATTGTCAAAAGATGGCGAGTTAGCAAATAAAATATCGCATAGTGTGTATCGGGCTTACAGGACTCATCCAGTTTCACACGAAACAAAGAAGTACCAGAATGCTCAACCATTTCAATCAAATCCATAAGAATAAATATTTGTGTGAGTATTATATAACATACTTTATTCAAGAGCTAAATCTGACTATTGCAGGTCTTTCCTTAGGCCTGAAATGTTATCTAAATTATTAATTGGACATTAATTAATTTATCCAGACCATAAAGAATTCTCGATGTCATCGCTAGCCTGTGATATTTGGCGAATTGGAATACATTTTTTGAAAAATAATTAAACGTAAAAATGGATAATCTAAACTTTGCTTTTTTATCGTGGTGACTTTAGTAATGATGATCGAAGCTAGACTAAAATTAAAAAGCTAATATCTCGGTTCAGAGAGGAGCAATTTGACTGAAATTTTTAGCGTATTCTATTTATCTATTTTTTAACTATTATAGCGAGAACTGTCAACTCTTTATTTAAGCACCCATAATGCCCCTTTAAACCAAAATATTTCATACGGTCCACGCTACATAACTGGGTCATTTCGGGACAACCATTGTATGTCATGAACCCCTTGAAAACCCAGGTAGATTTACAAACGATTCATGCCATGAAAAATCGTAGTAAGGATCCAACAATCATATTGGTAACAGATCCAAGGTCTTTGAGACAACTTTCGAGCACGTATCGGTAGGTGCAACTATCTGTGATACGTTTTCGAAGAAATGCATACGGTACGTTATGTGGTTTTGGCGACAAGTAACCAAATTCCAAGATATATAAGTGCCGAGAAAACTATGCATATTAACAATTCATTCGTAAAACGAAACAATTCCTTAAACGAGTTAGGTAACCTCCCAAAAAAATCAATATTATGTTTTGAAAAATTTTGTAATAGGTAATTATTTTTACATTAATGTTTGATTTGAAATCTTATCAACATATACCGTGTGAAATCTAGCAAGCAAGGAAGGGAGCACATTCGGGTAAAGTGTCCGTGATGGTGAAACCGTTTTTATTTAATATAATCTAGGGCATAGTTTTGGGAGATTTGCTTGGCTCACCTTTCATATATTGTGGATTGGTTGCTTGCATAATGGCACCAAAGGAAATCAGCGCCCAGAAAACAACAGCATAGTCAATCTTATTTGGTGAATACACACAAACAACATCTCCTTCTTTTACTCCTAAAGATTGTAAACCATTCGATGCTTTAATAATCAGCAATTTTAATTCTTTATACGTCACACTTCTCCCTGTTTCCAAATCAACCTAGAATGTATTAACAATGGCGTAAGCTTTTAAAGCAATAGATTTAACACGCAGTATTACAGGGTGTTCGATTTGAGGAGTTCAGATAAATAACAGATGAAATGAAATGGTGTTTAACCTCCTACTGTTCTCCTCCGACTAGTCTAATGAAGACGGACATGCGCCTTAGAGTGTACTATGAGAGAAATTTGCCCGGACACGAGACCAGGGTTTTTCATCCTAACAAAGTTTTATTGTATTTGTCCTTAAACCTCTGGACCGTTGACTGTTGTATACCTTTGGCCCTCAGACTATTTGACGTCTGATATCCTGGTTCGAATCATTATTTAAATATTGACGGGTACTGTGCTGACTCGTTTAGAATACCTGATATCACTTCACATTTAATGTCATCCGCGTTATTCTATTGCATTATGTCACAGTGATAGATTTCTAGACGTAATAACAGCCATTAAAGATTGGAAGCAGTGACAAGTCACACAACGATTGGAAGTATTTTATACTATTTGCAGCGCAAAAGTGAGGGCAAAATTCATTGCATGACTATTTTTTGTCTACAATGATCTTAACCTCCAAGTTATATTTATAGCTTGGCTCTCGTGAGTTAACAGATTTAACCAGAAGCCCAAGGCTTAAACCTGTTAACGAATGAAGCGTACTATAAATGACTTGTAACATTGACAACTGCTCAATATGCTTATTGTTATTGCACAGAAAACCCACCCAACTTATCTATATGATTTCTACTAAAACTAGTGTAAACCAGCAAAAGTGTGCATTAGCATTGAACATGTCTAGTTATTACGCGGTTAAACACCGCCCAATCTGCTAGAGGGAAAACAATCTGCTTATTCAATGAAAAGAACAAAGGAAGATTTCCCATCCATGTTACAATATCAGATTTTGACCTAGGCTTCATGTACACACATTATTTATAATGCAGTATCATTTAACTATATAATGTCATCGGGATTTTCCGGCGTGGTTTCCCCTTGTCATTTGGTGCAGGACGGAGGGCCTGACCGGGACAGCTGCCTAGTCGCTCGGATAGCGTGCACATAGCACGATGTATGGCGTATTCCCGACTTCGTTAGTCCAGTCGCAGCAAAACAGTAGGACGCTAAACCCCATTTCATTTCAATTAACTAATAATTTAACTACTGAGCTGGTGACTATGTTGGAGGCGTTTCAAACCAGACACCAGCTGTGGCGAGTGTAGTGTGCAAAACGGGTGTGTGTGTGTGGGGGGGCTTGTCTCCCGAAACGAATTATTAAATAAGACGTTCGTATGAATAGCCAGTCTAGTGTGGTATATTTTTATTATTCCAGCACACGTATAATTTGTCAGTTTACTTTAACCAGTATTGTAATTTTTACATTGTGTGGCGCGCTTTTTTACTTCTTCTGTCTTTGGCCACGAAATGGTGTAGCGGTTTGGTAGTATGGGGAATTCTGCTGCAATTATTGCTCAGGACCCACACCCCGGTAATATCTCTGCCACCAGTGATCTATTGGCCGATCACAAGCCGTTTAAAGTAGAGCCTCTTCAGAGGAGAAGGCGGACTAGCTAAAAAGTAGTTGTGCTATGTTCGGCTCTCTCCCTCTTCGAACAAACGGAACAAACCTGTATAAAACTATAAAGTTTTATTATGTATTATAACATATATATAGGTTAATTTTAATGGACTGGGAAAACTCTTTTATACTATTTATAAAGAGGCGAACTGTTCCAGTTCAAGCCGTTCTGTGAACTGTTTTGTGTAATAGCTAAAAGCTATACTGTTCATTAACTGCAAGCAGTTAAAAGCTGTATCTTTTCATGAAACGCAAGCGTTTAATGTTTGTATCTGTTCATTAGATGCAAGCATCTAAAGGCTGTATCTGTTTTTAAACTGGAAGCAGTTTTATGTCTAGGCTCAAAGAGCACTTCTCAAGAACTATAAGTGTATTAACTAAAGCTTCGCTTCGACCCTGGAGACGGATATCCCAGACCGAACAACTGAACCAGGGTAGTAGTGCTTGGTAACACGTTCGCCTGGCCGGTTCGACAGGATGGCGTCGTAACTGAGAATTCATTCCCAGCTCATGCAAAATTATAAACTATACACTCCTTATGTAAACAAAGTATACATTGTGTTACATAATCAGATCATCTGATGTTAAAGACGCTTCCTGCCAACTTGACACCTGTTCGTTATCGACATGCCTGGAGTCCTTGGTCTATGTGATTATGTAATGATTATGTAAACGTTAACTTGCTGGCATGTTTTATTTAAACTTTCTTTGTCTGATTAGCATGTATCGAATGTTAAACTATATATGATACATTAGCCAGATGTCTAATAAGATTCCTTTGTCTGGAATGGTTTATAAACCCAGATTAACAAACGAAAAGGGCAGAGAGGTCCAGGCAGGACATGAGAGCAGTCGGAGGCTAGGCGACGTCTGGTAGTTAACTCCAGGCCACGCTGGTTTGGAGTTAAGACCGGACAACGGCCAACTAATGTAAGCTAGTTATGGAGCCTTTAAGTTTTGTATATAATATGTTAGAAGAAGCCGAGAATAAAAGTATTTTAAGATGTTAAACTAGTCTTGTTATCCAGAACTTGATATAAAGAACCAATACTGTCACATATAAATTGATGCCGTAGACCAGACCAACGTTTTGAAGTCATAACCACTAGGCGATCAAAGAATTATTTCTAAGGTAAGTCTTTTTCTAATCCTACCATGGCCGGTTAATAATGACATTGTGCTATAATGTATTATAATTTAACTGGGAAATCAGCAGTTTATCATCACGCTTTATTAAATATCATGGTGTAGTTACTTAATTTAATATAATTTTCAAGCTAGTAGTGGAACAGTCCTTAACTATTTGTAGGAAAATGACTAAAACAAAATTGTATATATATTGTTTGTTTTACAATAGGTCATGTTGTTTTTAAAAGATTATAAATGATAATTGTTTGTTTTTGAACACATATTTTGGCATTTAAAAGTAGTAGTAACAGGTTAATATCGAAAAGTAAAATGTTTTGTGATTGTTTAACTAGAATTGGGTTAACAGTATCGTAATTTGGAATTTAACCCAATAACATTCACAAAGTATTAACGCGTTTATCTCTAAGGTTTTTTTTGTTGTTGTTTTGTCTATATGTGTCTATTACCCCAAATGTTAATGGGATGCCCCGATATTTACGGGAGAGAATTTTATTTGTGATACCCCTAATGTTAATATGGGATCAGTAAAATTATCTGCGACATATTATGTGATTTCAATGTCGCGCGTGTATGAACACTGTAGTATATATGTATGAACTTTTCAACCAGTATCTTATTACTTTTCAACCAGTGTTTTATTCTTTTGCCATTTGCATTTTTTCTTTTTGTTTATATAACTTTTAATCAGCTTATAGTTATTTTTCGTATTTTTGTTTATATATTAATTAGGGTAGTTACCATCGACTCCATTTATATTTAATTTTGTAATAGTCTTTAAAAGTTATTTCATATAATTCATAACTTTATTCAAAGAAAAGGGAAGGTATGTTACATAATCAGATCATCTGATGTTAAAGACGCTTCCTGCCAACTTGACACCTGTTCGTTATCGACATGCCTGGAGTCCTTGGTCTATGTGATTATGTAATGATTATGTAAACGTTAACTTGCTGGCATGTTTTATTTAAACTTTCTTTGTCTGATTAGCATGTATCGAATGTTAAACTATATATGATACATTAGCCAGATGTCTAATAAGATTCCTTTGTCTGGAATGGTTTATAAACCCAGATTAACAAACGAAAAGGGCAGAGAGGTCCAGGCAGGACATGAGAGCAGTCGGAGGCTAGGCGACGTCTGGTAGTTAACTCCAGGCCACGCTGGTTTGGAGTTAAGACCGGACAACGGCCAACTAATGTAAGCTAGTTATGGAGCCTTTAAGTTTTGTATATAATATGTTAGAAGAAGCCGAGAATAAAAGTATTTTAAGATGTTAAACTAGTCTTGTCATCCAGAACTTGATATAAAGAACCAATACTGTCACAATTGTCAACAATATAAATGCAACATTATTAAAAAGATGGACATAATGTGATTTATGATTAAGTTGATATACAAAAGTATTATTTAGTTACACTTAATAAGTTATAGGATATGCATAAAAATTATAATTGCATGCTATATATTTCAAATTCAGCTATTTACGTAAAGGGGAGATAATAATACCCAATCTATACTAATATTTGTGACTGTCGTTTGTCTGTCTGTCTGTCTGTCTGTTCGGGGTTGGCGGCTACACTAGGTCTGCCCCGAGTCTGAAATTTGGGGTATAGGGGTAGCTCGGACCGGTGAGTAACATAGGCCAGGTGGCGTTACTCTACCACTTCCGGTTTTGGACTTATGACCCCCGAGCGAAGCCGATCTGTTCGGGGTTGGCGGCTACACTAGGTCTGCCCCGAGTCTGAAATTTGGGGTATATGGGTAGCTCGGAACGGGGAGTAACATAGGCCAGGTGGCGTTAGTCTACCACTTCCGGTTTCGGAGTTATGACCCCCGAGCGAAGCCGGTCTGTTCGGGGTTGGCGGCTACACTAGGTCTGCCCCGAGTCTGAAATTTGGGGTATATGGGTAGCTCGGACCGGGGAGTAACATAGGCCAGGTGGCGTTAGTCTACAACTTCCGGTTTCGGAGTTATGACCCCCGAGCGAAGTCAGTCTGTTCGGGGTTGGCTGCTACATCTGCCCCGAGTCTGAAATTTGAGGTATAGGGGTAGCTGGGACCGGGGAGTAACATAGGCCAGGTGGCGTTAGTCTACCACTTCCGGTTTCGGAGTTATGACCCCCGAGCGAAGCCGGTCTGTTCGGGGTTGGCGGCTACACTAGGTCTTCCCCGAGTCTGAAATTTGGGGTATATGGGTAGCTCGGACCGGGGAGTAACATAGGCCAGGTGGCGTTAGTCTACAACTTCCGGTTTCGGAGTTATGACCCCCGAGCGAAGTCAGTCTGTTCGGGGTTGGCTGCTACATCTGCCCCGAGTCTGAAATTTGAGGTATAGGGGTAGCTCGGACCGGGGAGTAACATAGGCCAGGTGGCGTTAGTCTACCTCTTCCGGTTTCGGCGTTATAACCTCCGAGCGAAGCCGGTCTGTTCGGGGTTGGCGGCTACACTAGGTCTGCCCCGTGTCTGAAATTTGGGGTATAGGGGTAGCTCGGACCGGGGAGTAATATAGGCCAGGTGGCGTTAGTCTACCACTTCCGGTTTCGGAGTTATGACCCCCGAGCGAAGTCTGTCTGTTCGGGGTTGGCGGCTACACTAGGTCTACCCCGAGTCTGAAATTTGGGGTATAGGGGTAGCTCGGACCGGGGAGTAATATAGGCCAGGTGGCGTTAGTCTACCACTTCCGGTTTCGGAGTTATGACCCCCGAGCGAAGTCAGGGTTGGCGGCTACGCTAGGTCTGCTCCGAGTCTGAAATTTGGGGTATAGGGGTAGCTCGGACCGGGGAGTAACATAGGCCAGGTGGCGTTTGTCTACCACTTCCGGTTTCGGAGTTATGACCCCCGAGCGAAGCCGGGTATCCTGCTAGTAATATTTATTATGGACTCAGACTAGTAATTATTTGCCCATTGACTTCAATGTTAAATGGGTGTAACATCACAGGCTGTAGCTTTTTGCTCAACATTCCGTTGGTTCCAATCTCTATAGGCACAATGGGGACCCACATTTGGCAATCTCCTCAGCATAAATTTGTAGGGGGTTGATCGTTTAGATTTTTTGCTTCGGGGATTTGAAGTTGACAGGGGTGAAAATCTCACTTCCGATACAATAATTGCTCCGCAGAAAGACATTTTACACACCTATCCCTCCGCTGTAACATCACCAGTATTACCCAAAACTGCTATAAAATTGCAAATTTGATCCCTTTTCTCCTATTCTAGACCAAAAAGTCAACCCAAAAATGCAGGAAAAGGGGAGAAAAAAATTAAGGGAAAAATTGTCTATTTATAACTCGCACTACATTCGTCCATCATGAAATAAGGGGAAATAATTACTAGTCTTAGTCCTTATGGTACATTTGGACACAGATCACTAAAGATTTCCCCATTGACTCCAATGTTAATTCTCGTATCTTAGACCGGCTCTAACTTTTTCCCAAATTTTCGTTGGGTAGAACGCTTTCTACCACAGATGGAGCAACATGTGGCAACCACTTGCCCACTTGAGATACACAAGCTGGAAGTAGAGATAAGTAAACATGCAATTTCAGGCCCTACATTTCAACCTAACCAACCTCTCAACTCTTGTATCCTTCCGCATCAAAATTATGAATATTCACCAAAACCTGGCAGAAAATGTATTTTCAAACCCTTTTCCTCGATTCTACACCAAAAAGTCAACAAAAATCGCCATGCAAAAGGGGGAAAAAGGAAAAGGGAGAGGAAGACTAAAAATAGCTTTGGCCCTTGTTTCGTGGATGACGGCGTAGGAATATTTGGTGATCTGTGTCCATTTCCAACAAAATAGATTATATAATAGGGATATAGTATGCTAAATAACAAGACATAGGTTTCTATTAAATTATAAAATTAAACATAATATATGGCAGATAGCAATATTATTATAAAACTTAGAAAGAGTCTGTCAACATACTATTCACACAGTTATCAAATATCCTTTCCCTCACTATATATAACTACAGTGACCTATATCTAAATATAGCTGTTATTAGTCTCGACTATTTAGGCGTCTACAGACTATAAATAAAACAATACTAACAAAATGAAACTAGCTTTGCCACACTTGCATATACAAATGAAGCCTATCTATAGCTATCTTATATCTAATATGAAACGAGATATCTATATGACAACTTTTTATCTTTCAAACCGTCCTCATGTTCTTCATAAAACAACTGCACAATATCTGCAGTCAACAACAAAACAAATAGTTAATGAGTAAAAAAAGGGGACACGTGTTAATCCTTACAATAAGAGTGATTAAAAGCCTCTGTCTTCCCTTTTCCTACTCTACACCTTGCTGTACTGAGAGTGGAATCTTGGGGTTTCGACGGAGTGTGGTCCAATGCCCCCCCCCCCTCGCGAGTACTAACGATAGAAGCCGTAGTTCTATCCAGTTTGTCGAAAAAAAAATAATTCACACGTTTATTTTAGAAAGTAAACAGTGTTCATCTTTACTTGGGAGCCCTGATGGCCCAGTGAGTGATGAAATGAAATTGGGTTTAACGCCCTACCGTTCTGCTCCGACTGGGCTATTGAAGACAGAATAAATAGACGCTAGAGATTGCCATTCGATTGAGACTTCTGACGTATTTAGCAGAACATACCTGATTAGAAATTACAATAAAACAGGGACGATTGAATATAAATCAGTTTATATGCATTCATAATACATTATTATATGCGTTGGGACCCATTTGAGTCTATTTCTAGGTCCCAAATATTAGCGATTTAGCTCCTTTAACATATCATAAACCAATTCTCAATGAAATGAAGGTGAAACCATGATTTGATTTAACGAAACTGCTATGCGAAATTTTTGTTCAGTTAAAATGTCCGCGTACCAGAATCACGTGATAATTATATCACTCGAAAATACAGAAAAACTGTTCGGTATGATAAGATTAAGATTTATGTGTTCCACTCTTCACTATTTGTAACATAATCACTTATTTCCATGCAAACTGTGATATGTGTTGAAAATTTTGCAACTGAACCTAATTTTACTTACTCAAAGAGTCGAATAATGTATCAATTGCAGCCGTAGATAAGAATTATCTCTGCTAAAAATTGCAGCTAGGCGTTAGTCCGACTTTATTGCCACAGTTGGTGCAGACAAGTAGGATGATAAACCCCATTTCAGGTCATTGCGTTTTTCCTAGTTCCTTATCTTACCTATGTTCAGAATATTATAAATTCATTACTTTAGTTTATCATTAAAGTAGCTAAGTCTCTAACTCAATATCATCCAAAGTCTTACACGTTAAAGGCGCGAATTATTTGTCAATTCAAATCAACATTGATGTTGTGATCTTACCGGCAAAAGGTAGCCTTCTGATATCCAATATTTAAGACAAAATAAACATTTACCTTTGGTACACGAATCGTGTACCATAATGCGTTTCAGCGCCATTTGTAACAAGTGACCAGAAAGAACGAGGCTAGACATATTCCACAACTCCTGTCAAACGGTGACGCCATATGTTATCTGGAGCGCATGAGCAATAGACTGGAACAACCAGATGCTAGAAATTGACATTCGGTTGAGACTCATTTCGTATTTCGCTGGACATAACAGATTTGAAATTAGAGTCAAAACGGAAACAATTCAATGTAAATCAGTTTATAAACAATGAGATTTCGCTGGACATAGCACGGAAACATTATTATATGTGTTGTGACCCATTTGGGTCAATTTCTAGGTCACAAATATTAGCGATTTAGCTCCTTTAAATCTCGTTGCTCAGTCCTTTAATTGGCGGTCACAATCGGTGAAGCCATAATATTGTTTAACGTATATATGGCGGCCGTTGTCTAATTCACCTGAGGGTTGATTATGGGTTTAGCATGTGAATAGATCTCTAAATAGCCTGGAGGCTCAGTGGGGGGGGGGGGGGGTTCCATCTAATGGGCACAAAACCAGACCCAACTTTTCTAGAGTAAAATTTTGCGTAGAATACGATGCCGAGTGGTAATAAGTCCGCCGTTGGGGCGTTTTCGAGATATTCGGGGTCAAAGGTCAAATGGGTTCATTTGCACTGAAAGTGAATGCACAGTCATTCTTATATCATGAAAATAAGCTGAAAATGGTCGAAAGTAATCACACTTTCAATAAAAATGTAAACTTGCTAAATTCACCTTTGTTCTTTATGACCCCAGATGTCAAAAGGTGTCATTTTCCGTTTTAGCACTAGGAAGATTTAAAGTAATAAATTAAAGACCCCCTAAAGATAAATTTTAAATGTTCCTATTATTAATAAGAACAGGTTTCGCTTTAGTTTTTATATTTTACATTGACATTTTATTGCTTTAAATCGTCCTAGTGCAAAAACGGTAACTTTCACCTTTTGACCTCCAGGGTCACTAAGACTAAAGATGAATTTAGCAAGTTTACATTTTTATTGAAAGTGTGATTACTTTCGATCATTTTCAGCTTCTTTTCATAATACAAGAATGACTGCGCATTCACTTTCAGCGCAAATGAACTCATTTGACCCCGAATATCTCGAAAACGCCCCAACGGCGGACTGATTACCACTCGGCATCGTATTCTACGCAAAATTTTACTCTATAAAAGTTGAGTCTGGTTTTGTGCCCATTTGATGCCCCCCCCCCCCCCTCCGCGCTCAGCCTCCGGTCTAAAATAATAATCTATATAACAATTGATTGAAGCCATTTAATACTTGCAATAGGCAAATTTACCCCTTTAGGTATTAACAAGATTTTAAACTGTCTGAAATGAAATAGGGTCTAACGTCCTATATTTCTGCAACAAACGGCATAATGCAGACGTATAAACCTATTGCCACAGAATTACTGCAAAATATGTATGCAATGCATGTATGGTACTGGCCATATAAAATAAGCACTATCATCAATTCAAAAGTTTATTTAGAATTGTAGAAGGTAAACCAGCCCTTTTAAATATACAACCATGAGATAGTCTGTCAGGTTAACAGGACCTAAGTTAACATCTAGTGGATTTTATTTGATAAACATATTATAAAGACATTACCCCCACTTGTTTTAAAAATCTGCCAACAATAATGAGTGTAATCGGCTTTATACCGTATTCAGGTGTTCAAAGTGTCAAGTTACAACTTACCAGAGCCACATTATCTGGAAATTTATCAAACCAAGAAAACATATATTCCGTAAGAGATACAATAGGGACTTGTATTTCCGCCATTTTAACCAACACTTATAAACTGTTATGCTCTCATAAGATTACATGTCCCAGTTACACAGTTAAGCCACGGCAACCTTGACTGCATTTATCATATCCTAAACAAGCAGCCGACCATACTACAAATAGCGAGTCAGCGTCTTCCTCAGCCATTGTGGCTCCCACCGTAGATCAGGCATTTCGGTATCAAATCGGTATTGTATAGAGAGGCATGACAATAGTTTGGCAAACTATGGAGAATTTGTGAAAACACCTTAAATAGTTTGTATATGTATATTATTACCAGAAAATATGTATTAAGTAAATAAACAATAAACAAATAACTGAGCGCATATGTATATATGTATATTATTACCAGTAAATATAAATTACGATATTAATTACATACGTATTAAGTAAATAAACAAGTAACTTAGCGATTTATATTATAATTTTCGGTAATCTTCATTTCTCAAAAACCGAGCAAAGAAAATAAACAATAAATGAGCACAATATATTAATGTTTTGAGTACTAAATATATAATTATCAATTAAATGTTATGATCTGTCTCTCAAAATACGTCTAAGAATTTTCCCGCTAGCACTTTTTGGAATTTGTTCCAGGAATTCAACACCGCCTCTAAGTTTCTTGTGAGGAGCCACTTGTTCTGAAAACAAAAATAGAATTATTTTTAGTAATCAATGCTGCAGAGTCGCTCAACAATACTGACAAAAGGATGTATGTGATTATTTTCATAAAATAATTATGCTCATTCAGTTCCTTTAGTCTTGTATATTATTTGATAGATATCATTCTTCAGATACAAAAATCAGTGGTTGCATCCAATGCTGATTTTACTATTTGAAAGTCATTATACTATTCAAATATTCGATTTAATTTAAATCAATAATATGTAGAGTTTTTTTAATGGTCTTTCCGGTTTCTAGACATTTTAAATCTTTAAGTCCAATTTATCATAATGTTCTTGTGTTGGCGGAGAAAGTTAATCAAGATTTTCCGGCGTGTTCCCCGCTGTCAGTGGTGCAGGACGGAGGGCCTGTCATGGGACAGCGTTGGTCGTTCGCGAGGGACGAAAAACCCGCGGTCGCGTGGATTCATTGGCGTGGATGTAAATTAACCATTGGAAGTTGGCATTCGATATAAGAGTAGGTCGTATTTAGAATTTTAGAAAATACACTTACTGTGAACAAAATCTTGTATTTCTTCGGCAGTTAACTGTACACCCTTCTTCAAAACCACAAAGGCTTTCGGGAGTTCCCCAGCCTCAATATCAGGTACACCAATAACACCTACGTCAGCAATATCGGGGTGTTTTAGTAGTAAAGCTTCTAATTCCGCTGGTGCCACCTGGAAACCTTTATATTTAATCAATTCTTTTATTCTATCAATTATAAATAGATAACCATCTTCGTCTACGTGGCCCACATCACCTGTCAAACATCAAATGCATTTAAATAAATATTGACTTATTATAAGTAACAAAATCATAACGTAGCACGATTAATTTAAAGGTGTCATCCCAGACGTAAATCAGCTTTTCATGGGCAGTTGGCGACCATATCAATATGGCACGAGTCGCCTTTTGGCAGTTCACACGAAGGTAAATGATTCAATTTCGAAGAGATGGAACCCATGTCAAATTACTGGAAAACCGAAGCAGTTTCTAGAAACAAAAAATAAAAACCAGGCCTTATCACGTGTGATTGATATTTATGTGTATTATATAATATTGTTCTTTAGTAAAAGCCACAAACACACAGGATTGAATTGCGAAGAACTGCATATTATTGAAGCCATTTATGATCATGACGTAATATTACCTGTTTTTATCCACCCATCACTATCAATAATAGCTGCTGTTGCGTCTGGTTGATCCAAATATCCCAGCATTATCTGTGGTCCTTGGATACAAACTTCTCCATCTTGATTTACACCAAGTGGTTCTCCTGTCTTTGTATCAATAATCTGAAGAGAAGAAATATAATAAATATAAAATTTCACGCCATTTTAGTTATACGTTAATAATAATGTTCGCGTTCCTACATATGCATATCACCTTCGACAGACTAAACACACTTCCCGGAAGGCGCTGTGGCTCAATGAGCAAGGCACTGGCTTACTAACCACGAGTCCGGGGTTCGAGCCTTGTGAGAAAGTTCTCTCGGATTTTCCAGCCTGCCTCCTCCTGGTCAGAGGTGTAGGACGGATGGACAAGCAAGCCATTCGGATGGGAGGAATCCCATTAAGTCGTTGACACAGGAAATTAGATATAAGAGTAGGTGGTAGCGCCGCGGTCGGTGTCAAGTTTTCTCTCATAGCAAACTGTATTTCGTACGCCCGTCTTCACTACCCCAGTCAGTGCAGAAATATAGAACGTTAAACCCCATTTCATTTCTAGACACACTTCCTACCCCTGACATTGAAAAATATTGAAGTAACCACCCTTGATCAATCTAATTAAAATATATATCTATATTTATACTTTCGATGGCTTACATTACATGTAGATCTAACAAGTTATAGTGGGAGTTCACGTTCTATGACGTCAAGTACCAAGCAAGCGACATTTGACCCGATTACGTCGGTCATTCGATTAACCAATTAGCGACCGCTATGTATTTTTTATCTACTTTTGCTTTGTTTTGATTTCTATTGCCGCTATAATGTCTACCCACACTTCCGCGCAAAAAAGGTCAAACGTTCGATTCAAGCAGAACACGAGTTAAATAACAACGCTTCCAGATCCAAGTGTAGTAAAGACAAGTAAAATCGAAATTTTGAACTATAAAAACGAAACGAAATTGGATCTGTGTTTTAATCAGATTGCACTCTTGATTCTAACCTTGGATATTTTGATTTTCGAGCTAAGCAACCTAACCACACCCACTCAGTAAGTCAATAAAACACTCACAATAATAAATCATGGCTCTATGGTGGTTTATTCCGCAAAATCTTTTGAAAATCTTTGATTGGTGGGGGAGATAAGTTCCGATAGCATTTTGAGTAAACATGTCTTTAGAGTATTTTTTTTAATGACCAATTAAATACACAGAAATAAAATAACATCTAGTTTAATTAGATACTCAATATATTATTACCTTTGTTTTGATTCCCTTTATAGCTTGTCCAACTGAACCGAATTTATGATTCTCTTCTGTGTCTAGATGAGTTACCATACATTCAGACATACCATATCCTTTAACATAATAAAATACTATGATGGTGCATTCCAATTGAATAGAATCTCTATTGTAATAAACACGTGGTAATAAAATATGGTACATTCCAATTAAATAGAATATCTAGTGTAATAAATACAAGGTAATAAAATATAAATTGGATTCAAATTAAGTACTCTATAATTAGCATGGGAAAAAACTTAGTGCATTCAAACTGAAATACATAGAGTTGTTCAAATGTGAAACGTTAACAAGACGATAGATCATAAACGACTGGCTGGTGGTATGACATAATCTCTTTATATGTTAGAGGGTACACGACGGGTCTATGTGATAGCTTAAAACTGGCGGATTTGAATGAATAGAATCAGGCCCGTAGCCAGAGGGGGGCCCCCCGAAAAAATGTTTTGCCCCCCCCCCCCGAAAAAAAATTTGCCGACCATAGCTCTAAAATACCTACTGTAGACAGTGCCGGGTGTGCCCCCCCACCCTAAAAACTTCACTGCCCCTCCGAAGCTAGCAAGTTGGCTACGGGCCTGAATAGAATTAATGTAAATCCCGCTAAAGTTTCAGCAAATTTTCGATCAATGTATCTGTGGGTAAGAACACTATTGATTGTATATGGTTCCATATCTATCATTTATTTTGGAATATTATGTCATTAACCTACGTGTGAAAACATACAATAAAACTGGGCCCACAAAACTGACGCTGATGGCAATCACGGTGACCCAGTGGGCAATTGGCAGGCTGGCTGGGTTCGACCCCGGTGTTTTCTGAGAACACAACAATTGGATTTTCCCGGCGCGGTTTGCCCTCATCAGTGGTGCCAGATAGGAGGCCTGGTAAGAAACAGCTTCTAAGTCATTCGGATGGGATGAAAAAACGTGGTTTCATGTACAACTTGGCGTGCACGTAAAAGAACCCTTGACAGTTGAAATTTGATTTCTGTTCGAGCAAAGCATCACTTCATTTTCACGGTGGGAGCAGAAAAGTAGGACGTTTAACTCCATTTCATTAATGCGTTACTTACCTTGACTAATGTAGTTGACCTTGAAAATATCTTTCACTTGGTCTTCAATAGCCACACTAAGAGGAGCCGCTCCACAGACGACTTTTTTAACACACGTTAGATCATAATTTTTAGTTTCTGGTAATTTTGCTAATAAAACCATTACTGGAGGAACCATGTGCAGTATTTTTATCTGTAAGATAAAGGAATTATTGTTAGTCCCGAAATGATCTAGTTTCTCTCTCTAATGTTAAAAAAATTGGGCGGGGGGGGGGGGGGAGTTGCACTCGGTTCTAATCTCCAGCTAAACCCTACCTTACCTACCCTTAGGAGACCAATATGAAATAGACATTAACATTTAACTTATTCTTTTACGTTTTGGATAAATAGACAATAGCTTACAGAAGTAAACTCCACGTAAGGCGATCCTTTTTAAATTTTCAGAATAAGCTGCTTTATTACACGATAATACTGATTTGAAATATGCTTACTCCATGATTCCCTCTTATTATTATAGACTAGGAACACAAAACTACAATAGATTACCAGAGTTACGTCCCGTGACAGCTACGTCGAAATCTTTAAAATACAGTAATAAAAGACTGCGTTTTGTTAAAATATGGTAACCCATGGAATTGTTATTGATTTCTATACCTGTACGTTTTGAATAAAATATATCATTGATTTTTTTTAATCGTTAAATTTAAGATATATTGCCACGCAACGATACATACAGCCACAGCAACTAAGTCTTTCGATCTGTCCGCAAGTAAAATCTTTAGACAGAATTTCAATAGACCTCTTTGTTTTACTAACTTAAATTAATGCATAATTATAATATTCATACACGTCGTATGGGAAATTTTGTCGTTAGCGCTCTCACAAGGTTCTCTAAAATGAAACAATGGACAAAACTCTAGAATGTAATTAAAGACAAATGTTGAAATCTAATAGACTTCTTCGTCTCAATAAAGTTGCTTCAAGAATCAGTTAAAGTTGTTTTTATTATCGCAATACAATAGCGTAATTAAAGATACCTGATATTTTTGAACAGCTTCCATATATGGCAAAGGGAAGAATCTGGACATTAACACCAATTTCGACCCATACGTTAGAACACTTGCAGTAATAGCAACCAATCCGTATATGTGAAACAGTGGTAAAAATAATAAAACAGAATCTTCTTTATCTAGGTCCAAGGCTCTGCAATAAAAACAAGAATTAAAATGAACTCAGTTTCAAGTAAGATTAAGAAATGTGGTGCTTGAACGATAACACCACATGATTGATCCAAGTAGCTGTCATCCGGACAAATGAATAGGGGTGTACGCCATGTAGTGTACTATGACCTACTATGATTTCGATCTCCAGATATCAAGGGTTCTTCCCCGTTCACGCCAACTGAACGACCAGGTACCACGCCGGAAAATCCTGAGGTTCTTTCTCGGCCATCACCGGGATCGTACCTCAATGTTACCGAGCCAGCCTGGCTCCCGTGATGGATATGGAAACAAACGAATCATCTCCTTTATGTGGAAAGCTATCCGGAACTGTCATTATATTGGTCTAAATATTATTCACTGTTAGAAGTACTAATCCTAACCGTAGTTATGACCATTTCTTATTCAATTCTATTTGTGATAAAATTATATTGTCGGTTCATCAATAAATCGTTTGTGTTAAAAAAAATATGTAAATATTTTAAAGCAAAAAAAACCTTGATTGTAAATAAAGGATTCCAGATTCACATAATGAACAGTCAACCACCGCAAAAGAATGGATGGCATTCCATCATAGGTGTTCTCATTTTGTAAGTACCTTAATTGTGCGAGATTGGCGATTACATTGTAATGTGATAACATAACAGCTTTAGGTAAACCAGTTGTTCCACTAGAAAATATGTAACAAGCTACAGTCTTTTTAGGGTCAAAGGTCGCCTTCTTGAGATCTTTGCCTTCACCAAGGGAGATAACTTTGTCCAGTGATGTACAGTCTTCATATTTGTCTTCACCGCCAATTACTATTATGTCCTGAAAATCAAGCAAATTCAGGTGTAAATTTCTATTAAATTTCAAACTTGTTGCTAAAGGAATAAAGGAGGAACAAACAAAGATTACATTCCTCATTTTGTAACGGCCGTAACTGTACAGTTATATGGAGTATGTGGCGGAGAAGGGGGTCTACCGAGTTACGACATTCCCTACCTGAAGGCGTAAAAAGAAAACTACTAATTCCGGTCAATTAGCGTAAAAGCGGAAACAATTAAATGTCACTTTATACACAGTTTATATGCATGGCGACCCATTTGTGTCAATTTGTAGGTCCCAAATAGACTTTTATGCACATGTAAAGCCCTAATCAACACTCTAAATCATCGGATGGGTTTGACTTTCAACGGATTTTAACACAATTGCCAGTTGATAATTTAATTAATAAAATGGATAATTGAGATTGTGTTTATTATCGTAGCAACGGTAGCAATGACATTTGTGACTACACTGTTCTTCAAATTGCCATAACTCCGCTCTGACTGAAGTAATTTTCAACATATTCCCATTTAATTATCTTTTTTAAAACTATTATAGCGAGATCAGACAGTAATTGTATCTTTAACGTTTTTACTTTCTTTAGTTTTATCAATAAGACTTGGTGACAGAGACTATTTACCTTAATGTTGTTGTTTTTACTTTCTTTAATTTTATCAACCAAACTTGGTACTGTTACTATATACTTGGTTTTACATTTCTCAAACTGGGCTACCAATTCATCTGTACGTTTTTGTTTGTAGAAAAATAAAAGGGAAGGAAAGAAATACATTAATGTAAACACGAGTGGGAATACTCATCCTGGTCTTAGACAGAAGAGAGATTTTAACATTTGAACGCATGCACAACCGAGAGAGAGAGAGAGAGAGAGAGACATTTCGGGACTAACATATGGTTCAACTCTATTCCAGTAACACACAAAAGCTTAGGGGTCTTTAGCGGTGAGTGAAACCGGAGGGCCCGGAGAACACCCAAAGCAAAGTCAGACCTTATGATCTAACGCACGCAATAAACCATCCCCCCCCCCCATAAAAAAAATCAGAATGAGATACATACATATTTATTCATTTACCTTTTGTATAAAGTGGGTTTGTTGCCTGTAAAATAGCACCTAACGACGTCACGGCGAAGAAAACAACAGCATAATCAATATTATTAGTTGAACACATACAAACAACATCTCCTCCTTTTACTCCTATAGATTGTAAACCATTCGATGCTTTTATAACCAGACATTTTAATTCTTTATACGTCACACTTCTCTCTGTGTCTATCTCAATCTTAAAATAAACCAAAATAAATAATGTGGTTATTGCACATGAATGGCGACAATAAGGAGACGTTCCTTAAAGGAGTCAGATTATACGTCGGAATACAAAGAATGATCCATGATTGTCAGCAGCGGGAAGGGGGGTGGGGGGTCAAGACATTTCAGATCTCCATATTAATGCGGTGCCTGCTATGATGTAGGTGACATTTCCGAATATTTCGGGCCTCGGGACCAAACATGAGTCTGAGCAAAGGGGCGGGGGGGGGGGTTGGACTCCCTGAGTCGGTCCTCGGAGACCCAGAACCTGGAGCAATGATAGGCCTTATGATCCAGTGCGCACCCTTTAATTGACCACTCAGTGTAATTAGAATTTCAATTTCGTTTTGTTTATTTATTCAGAAGAGTAACACTTATATGAGATAACTGTATTTCAAATGGCTATAACCCCATCACTATCGGAATTCCCATATACGCTTTTCAACAATTCTCCAAAATGCATAGTTCTATATGCACAGACAATTTGATTTGTAAATCAGCCTAATCCCACTCAAGCACTGCTGTAATGAAAGCAGTTCCAAATTTAACAACCAATGCCTAACTGCGTAACAATGTCATCTGGGTTTAAACAAAGCTCCACTTTGTTACATAACGTTACGTCATGACTCGCGAAATTTTTATGACAATTAACCAGTGTATAGAAGAATATTACAGAAAAATTAATTGTGTGACAAACGAGGCTATCAACACGAATACAATGTAAACAATAGTGTTTGGAGACGAACATACTTTCACCGTTTTTAAAATCTTAAATCACTGTCCAAAGTTTTAGGGAAGACCCCAGATTAAATGAAAGGCTACCATGTTGCTGTACTTGGGATAGATTTGATTAAACGGGAAGAATAGACACACTCCCTCAAAAGCTCAAGTATCATAGTTAATCCAGCAGTGGCCAGAGAGGGATTTCTCGGGCCATTGCGTCTGGAATATGACACCTCGGCTGCTTTTCCCCAATTATCATCTGTACTATAAACGTGCTGATTTCACAGATTCAATTAAAGCAGTATTATTTTAAGATTAGCATTGTCATTGAGACATATATAGTAATAAACATTATCTTTGCTGGCCAAACAATATATTTTTTTTTTGGGGGGGGGGGGTTAGACATAGCTTCAAAGTTTTATTTAAACCTGAAAATGATAAACGATGAACTTACCATGGCAATATTATCTGGAAATTTATCAAACCATGAAAACATATATTCTGTTAAAGAAACAACTGGAATATCTTCATCCGCCATTCTGGGAATATTTCTGAAATAATAAGTGACCTGTTAACTGACTCAAAATTGGATTAAGTGGATTAATGAAAGGGAAAGCTCTGCATGATCCAGTTGTTGTAATTGTTATGGTTACTGCGTCGGTTATGTCTCAACACTGCTTGGGCACAAGTTATGTGGTCGTATGTGGTGTGGCTCGGTAGGTTAGATGCAAGTTCCGTAAGTAGGACGTCCCAGGTTCAATCCCCTTATCGGTCGAGAAAGATTCTTCTGATTTTTAATCGCCCCCACCCCCCTTGTTCGAATTAGACAAAACAAGCCATGTCCCGTGTACACGTTGGCGTGCAATTAAAAGAAGATCGGGCAAAATTTCCCTCGTTACACACTGCACGGTGAATAGCTGAGGTCAGGTCTAAATATTAAGGCCTACTGCTGATTTCGCCAAGGTCGCGAGATGTAAAAAGGGTTAGGGCACGTGACTGTTGATGAGATTGTGGGTTAGGGTTAGCGTAAGAGTTAGGGCTAGGTCTTGGGTTAGAATTAGCCCTGTTTACATCTCGTAACCTTTGACCAAATCTGCAATTGGTCTTAGTATCTAGACCTAACCGTATAGCTGTCTCCATTAACCCGATTGATGCAGAAAAGTAGGACGTTAACCCCATTTAATGTCATTTCATGGGTTATACCAAGAACCAAAACCATTTACTAAAGAACGAAAACAATAAACACAGCTAGTGATGAAAGGTATCGTATTATATATTAGGATAGAGGTTCACACAAAGTTAAATCTTAAAGTGACATTTAATAATATTTTGATCTAGCCTGAATTACCGTTTATGGTCTAGATTTTAACAATGGCGTATAGAAGTTTGATGATGCCGGGGCCACAATACTATGATTGTAAGCAGCTAAGACTCAAAGTATATATAACTGTGAGAAAGAAAGAGATTTTAGATATGTCAAAACAGATAAAATAAACATTTTTAATTCAAATTAAATAGACCAGTCTGTTATAGAACAACGACCATTTCAAATTTCAAAAAACTCAATTTCAATTTCACTTTTTAATCACAGGCACATGGGGGGGGGGGGGATTAAAATTTTGTACTCTTACATTATGTTGTCTAGCATATCACAGTGCCATTATTAGTAGTATGCTAGATAACATAATACAATTAATTTTAATCTCTTCCAGTGCCTGTGTTTTTAATTGGAAATCCTATTGGCATGGATGCACGAGACCATCGCTCCCTCTGGATAAACCCTACAATTACTAGTGTACGTGACAAGGAGTAGGGTCGCCTGTCCAACCTCGTGGGTTTTCTCCGGGTCCTCCGGTTTCCTCCCACTGCTTAAGACCCCCTACGCGCAAGCAAATTCTTGAAATACAATTAAAACCATATGTTAGTCCCGAAATGACCTAGTTTGTGTCGAGTGGACGTTAAACCCCATTTATCTCTCCCTCTCTTACGTGTTTGGTATTAATACAACACTCTATACGCTTTACTGCGTTTATCCTGATTTAGACAGTGACCTTGATTTAGATAATAGTACATCATTAACTTGGAGTACAGCAATTGGAAGGAAGGTCGTTCAAAAAATAAACATTATGGCCTCTTTTTATTGTTTATTGACAGTTCATAATGTTAAAGCTTTAATCTATTGTAAATTCCATACAGTATCCAAAGAAACATGGTTTACCAGTCTTTCGGATGGGACGACAACCCGAGATATCGTGCACCTAACGGCGCGCTGGTGAGAACCTTTGACTGTTGGAATTCGAAATAAGAGTAGGTAGGTTGGTTCTTAAATTTCTAGGGTCATAGACCGTGGGGTGGTTCAAATGAATGTGTTTGCTAGTGTATATTAAATATTGTATTACTTTATTTATAGCTAAGATTTAAAGACACAATTTAGGTAACTTTTTAAACTGTTCATTTCTGTGCGGAGGGGGGTTGGATGGCTGAATGGTTAGCGTGCGCGCGCTGTATCATAAAGTCTGTCATTGAGTCGACTGGCGTGGTTTCGAATCCCCGGTTGTACGTGACAAGGAGTAGGGTCGCCTGTCCAACCTCGTGGGTTTTCTCCGGGTCCTCCGGTTTCCGCCCACTGCTAAAGACCCCTACGCGCAAGCGAATTATTGAAATAAAATTAAACCATATGTTAGTCCCGAAATGACCTAGTTTGTGTCGAGTGGACGTTAAACCCCATTTCTCTCTCTCTCTCTCTCATTTCTGTGCGAAAGCGCAATCATAGGCGTGACATTGATATTGGACTGCGTAGGTACTGAGTGTCGCCGTCTCTCACTATCGTTTTCAAAACATGAATAATGGGCGCAACTAAAATAATATATGAAAGGGGGTTTAACGTCCTATTTTTCTGCACCGACTGGGCTAATGCAGTAGGGTTTATGGCGTACAGTATGCTATGTGGGAATCT